ACCTCAGACAGATACAGTGTCATCCTATAGTGACCATTTTGACAAGCTAAATGAAGAGGAGAACAACCATCACCATCCACTGCTCCAAGAAGCTTCTCATGATTTCTAGTACCAGTAGTCGCTGATAACAGAGACACGACTGTATTAACGTGACCATTAGCTGCTGCTAAGTGTAATGGACTCTCTCTCTTCTCATTAATTGAATAAATATCAATATTAAGAGACTTGTAAGCTCCTGCTATAGTAGACACTATATCAGGATGACCCTGGCTGCATGCTGCATGAAGTGCTGTGTTACCATTGCTATCTGCCATGTCTACTAATTCTACACGTGGTTTATTGTAGCTTGGACTATCCAATAGATATTCTACTATTTCCAAGTGACCCTCTTGAGCTGACAGATAAAGTGGAGTACGACCAGAAGCATCAGTGATATCAGGATTACAGTAACGACCATCAATGAAAAACCTCAATATATCCAAAGACCCTCCCTTTGCCGATATGTGTATTACGTTAAACCCTTTATCGTCCAGTATAGAAATGTTGCAGTTTTTACTGTTGAGGTAACGAATGATGGGAAGGTTCTTAGAGAAAGCTGCAATAAGTAGTGGAGTACGTCCAAAAGAGTCGGTCATATCAAGAGATAATGGTGAATGGTCTATAATGTACTTGACTATACTCAATGATCCTTCTTCGCAGGCTACATGAACTGGAGCCATTCCATTGTAATCTTTAATAGTGAGATCCAACTGATGCTCCTCCACTAGATGTTTGAGTATAGGAAGAGAATGACTTTTACATGATAAATGAAGAACTGTTGATCCATTTGAAGTTTTAGCTGATACGTCACACTGAGGAAGACTAGTGAGGTAGAGAACTATAGCAACATGTCCTTCCTGACATGCTATGTGAAGGAGTGTGGATTGAGTATCATCACCAGGATTAGTGGCATTAATATCAAATGAATAATTGTTTAATAAATGCTTTAAGAAATACAAATTGTTTTCTCGTGCAGCATAAAAAGGTAATACACCATTCTTAAATGAGACTACATTGATATGATACTCTTGTCTGAGCCATTCTAGTATATGAACATTTCCATATAGCACTGCAACTGATGGTGATGATGATCTGCCAAATATCTTAGGATTAAGGTTGTATTGTTTTATTAATAATTTCAAAAAATCAAGATTACCAGAGGAACATGCCCTTGTGACACAATTGTATCCATCCATATCTTCAGTAGTGACATCACATTTCATTTCATCAATTAGAAATGTCACTAGTTGTATTACACCACTAGCACAGGCAGCATGAATTGGTATACTATCAGTATCATCAGTAGAATGTAACAGACTAGTATATTGTGGATAATTATTAATAATATATTTAATAAATAAGAAATGACCATTCGTTGCAGAAAAATGAAACACATTCATGTTGTATGCTCCACCTACTCTATCCAAATCATATCCACAATCTTTTACTAAATACTCTAAGACATCAATAGCACCAGCTTGAGCTGCACAATGAACTGCTTGCTTATTATCACCAGTTTTATACTGAGGATCTAGTTTATATTCATTAGCTAATAATTTAATTAATGATAGTTTAGTACTATATACTGCTTGAATTAATGCAAATGATGTGAGAGGCAATTGATGATTATTAATGAGGTATTGAACTAGCTTCATGTTACCACTCCTAGCACTATGAGTCAATGCATTCGATTTATCATTATCTGTTATGTTAATGTCACTGTCTTGTACTTCAATGAGAAACTGACTGAGATCAAAGTTACCATGACAACATGAATAATGAAGAGGTGTTCTACCCTCATTACAGGTTATATTAATATCAATGTTAGTAGTATTCATAATATATTCTACTGCATTAATACTACCTGACATACAAGCTAATGCTAATGGTACTACACCTTTGTAGTCTGGTTGACTGGCATTCAACCTATACTCAGATACAGTATAACTGAGTAGAGTAGGTGAACCTGATAAAGCAGCATAATGTACTGCAGACCGACCCTCATAATCTAATGAACTTGTATTAATACCATACTCCTCTAATACCTTCACTAATAATATACTACCACTAGTACATGC